TTGCGCTTTAAATGAAATCTTTGAAGGTTTCTGCCAACGTGTACCAGAACTTTTTCCTAAAACTTTTAATAAAAAAAAAAATGGGGTATGCTGTTTTCTGACCACTGCCCTCATGAGAAATGTTAGTGAAGATTTCTACCCATGGCCAGGAAACCAGCTGACAGAAGTTTGATCTTCCAACAGTGCCAGGTGTGGGTGCTAACTGTTGTCTGCCATGACTGCTAAACTGCAGTGCCAGCGCTGAAGAAGGGAGGCACTGAAATTAGTAGTCTGACTAAGAGCAAATGCCCTCTTCTTGTGACATGTCAAGTGATGACACTGGTTGGCAGCCCCCTTCTCTTGGTAGGTGTGTGGAAGGAGAGGAGTTAAGAGAGAGCAGAGGAAATAGAATCTCCTTGCTAGCCCTGAGGCCCAAGGCCTTCCAAAGCACCAATCACCAAGGTTTCAGTTACACGGAGGCAAGTCCCAGGGTCCTAGAGAGAGAAAGAAGGGGGAGGCGGGTATTGAATAAGGGAGATGTGGCTGTAGAACGGAATATTAGAATTACTCTCCACCAAATGCCAAGGCTGCCTGTTTTTACTCCACAGGAATACGTAGCCGTTTTTCCAGAACGGGCCTGTTAAACCCTCTGAAAGAACAGAAAGTGATGAACCTGGGTCTTGTTCTGGCTCCATTGTGTACTGGGCTGGGTGGCTTCGGCTGAGCTATTAAACATTCCTTGGCTTGAATATCCTTCATTGGGAACAATACCTGCCCTGCCTGCCTCACAGGGTTTCTGGAAGATCTGATGAGATAACGAACCCAACCTCCCTGAAAAAACACCATAAAGCACTCCTCACACAGAAGGGAAGAATATTACTGTTCCAATTACCAGGAGCCCATCAGAGCGTTGGCCTGTGGGTGGAGAGTTCTAGAGAATGGAAGGTCACCTTGTTTCTTTAGCCGTCACTCTGCACCCCATCTCTTCCAGGCAGGACAGCCCGGACAGGGAGAGGGTGGGGAAGGGATCAAGTGTCCCAGAAGGCAAAGCCCGACGTCTCAGTCAGATGTTCTGGGCTCACCAGCCCCCACACATGCCAAGTCCTTTCTTGCATTGGATCGAAGTCTTTCCTTTTACTTCTTCAAGCTTATTTCTTCCTGTTCTACCCACAGATTTCTCTACCTGCTGAAACAGGACATCATTGTTAGTGTTTATCCACTATTGAAGAACATGACCCAAAGTTGCCAAATTACCATTCCTGGGGTCTCGAGTCAAAGTGTAATAAACACCAAGCATCTGCTTTTGGAAGGGACCTTGAAGAACCCCTTTATTTATAAAGTTTCAATGTCTTATC